TGAGCAGGGTGAATGTATCTATTATTTTGAGGACTTTTGTTGTACCGATATAATTGATTACTTTTGATGTACCTATATATTTGCATATCTTGTCTGTGACGATCTATATGACGCTGACTGTACAGTGGTAGAGCTCGCTTTAACATGTTCGCACGACTTGTCCCGGCTCGCCCGGTGAAATACCACGACCACACAGAAGACACGCGTCAAGTGGAAGCTATTCCAAGTAGAGTCTGATGAGTGTGCGTCCCGGAGGCCTAATATAGTCCACTTTCCCTATGAGAGGATGCATGAAAACATTTTCTTTCTGTGCATCTTCTCCTCCGTCGATTAAAGGTAGGCAACGCATATGCAATTGCGTATGTTTATGGGCAATGGTCAATTCGCTATTTCAGGTGGCCGCTCGCTCGTTTGCCACCTTATTATATAAAAAAACAGTAGTAAAAAACATCCAAATTCTTCATTCAAATGTCTCTTTATTCACGTATTTACATAAAATAAGTATTGAGATAATTTCATGTTCGCTAAATGTAAGTAAATAATTTAGATTTTAATACAAATAAGGGTACAGCGGTCTACAAGATTATTGAAAATGAATTTAAACAAGATTATTATAAAAGTAAGATATATAATTTGGGTATACAATGAAAATATCCAATTTAATAGCCAAAATACTAACAATAAATAGCGAGTACAAATTTCACATTCAAAAGATACAATAAAAATTGGGACGATCCTCAAAAAACGTTTACACTAAATGCTACTAATACCGAAAAGTATAATAAAAATCAATTTTCTGGTGGGGACCGGAGTTTAATAAATATTATTTATAATTAAATTCAAAGCGATTATTGTCGAGATCTCAAATATATATCATTTCTAGAATAAAACACTAAAAATCAAGCACAATTTAAAAAAAAAACAATCTCATTCATGTCAAATACTCATGTTCAAAGAGGCTTTAATTCATCTTCTCTCTTTGGATTAATAAAAAAAAATCAAACGTCTAAAATTAAAAAAAAAGAAATATTGGCGCCAAAACACACTTGTAGGCGATACATTACGAATAAGGCCACAAGATGGCCGACTACTAGCCTAACCTAAAAAAAACTCGCATTACTAAACAAATGTAAAAATTCTTAACTAAGAAAGATTACGGACACGATAAAAAATAAACAAAAAAAAGACTAGATCGTTAAAATAAAAACTATTACAATTATTGCTTAATCTAACAAATCATACATAATCACAAAATATACGAGATTTCATTACAATTGCGATTTCTATAATAAATCAAAATATTCAGTTGACTTCCAGTAATCCGACAAACTGTAAAACAATGAACAAATGGTCACAAACTATTTTCATATGATTATCAATATTATGCTATTTCCTTTCTTTTTATCACATAGAAGTTGTCCGGGACTTCATAAGTGTAAAATAAAAAAAATAAAAAAACTAGTACTAAACTTATCATTAGTCACCCAGGAATAGTATAGCTTTCCAACAGTGAAAGAATGTTTTAGGAATCTATTCAATGCAAGCAAACAAACAAATCTTTCCACTTTATCATAGCGAACCTTACAACGAACCTGTCTGAGGAGTTTTAACAATTTAAATTGCCATTTACATTGTGAAAAAAAAAATACATTTTTAAATTAAGTTATATCAAAGCTATTTCGTTGTCCTTTTGCTATTTGAGTTCTCACAATATTATTACATTTTTCTTTAAATGTAAACTAAAAAATGAAGTCATAAAAATGTCACCAAATAAATTTGACCTCGTATTATTTGATTGACTATTGTGGGGAGACCCAAAAATCCCCGTTTAAAACATATCATCTCTGTTTAACCAAAGATAATGACAGGGATGGCGATATGTTTTATATATTTAGAACTCAGAAACCTACCATTACATACCTATTTCACACTTTTTCTAAATACAAAATATTTTCCTAAGGTTAATTTTGCGGTGACAATATTACAATAGTGTGTCATGTGCCATTAGTTCATAGCAATGAGGAGTGTCAAATTACCAGAAGTCAACAGTACTCTCACACAACATACGTATATAAGAAATATTTTCTTGCATTTTTCATATATTTAACATTAGAAAGAGAAGCTGGTTATACATATACAAAAACATATGCTTTTCACAAAGACATATGACAGTATTTATGTTATGTTTTTGTATAAACTACAAATTAACTTCGTACAAGGAAGATTTATTTACAAGGCGAATATTTGAAAGTATAAATTTTACTAATAAACAAGTATCTGTTCTGTTTCTTGTTTATGGATCTCCCTCATCGGATTGGGCCAATGTCAAGTAAACAAGTATCGTAGTTTTAGTTTTCAGGAAATAAATATTTAATAGCAGCATAATATTTAAATCTTATATAGCAAAAAAGTGAAAAGAAATAATTATAAGATTTTTAACTATAAAAGTTTTTTTATACTTTATAAAATTTCCGCCTTGTAAAATTATTAGGAAATACTTACGACTACATTAATTTATGGATGGATTTTCGTATTAACGAAAAATCTCTTAATGTTATTTGGAGAGTAGCTTTTCCTATGATTAGTCAAAGTTAACAGGTGGGCCGAGAGTTTATTAAAATTTACACAATATAAAAACATTACCCAAAGTGTAATAATTTCCAATAAATTTCCATAAAATGTCTGCCATTTTCCATAAAATGTCAGTAATTTTCCATAAAATAACACCGATGTAAGTCTTTATATTGTGACAATTATAATTATTGTGTTTATAAAATTAATATTTCAAGCGATTAGTATAAAATAAAGCAAAATGGGAAATTGTTAAATATACAAAGGCAGTGATAGTAATTTTGGTCGTTTCGGCCATATTTTTTTTTATTATATTTCGTTACGATTCGAAGGATAATAGGGAAAACGTATGGAAGAGAAACCCTAGTCGGTTTAAATTGACTTCTTTTAACATTATAATTAGTGATTTTTTCACTTGTCATATTTTTTCTCGGGTATATGAAAGATTTGGTACAGTTGTTATAGACAGATAAATTTATCTGACCCGGTGGGCATGACACTAAATTACAATAGCTCACTAGCGCCCCTCTCTAATCACAAAAAAGTATAACAAAAACTTCGTACAGTCAGCTGCAACTTGTATACACTAAGCAGTCGCCTTTAACTCCGTCTGCGCGTTATTAAAAACAGGTTAGTAGCCTAAGTGTTCTTCCAGCCTATGTTCTACATCTATGCCAAATTTCAGCGAGATGCAGCAATTCTGGAGATACCTTCTAACTTATATAGAAAGTTTATACAGCTGACTGCACTATAGGTGAATTTCTGACAGAATTGTGACTAGCGCCGCTAACCGGGTCAAACAAGTTCATCTGACTATACAAAATATGACAAGGAATTTCAACAATATATTATATTTTACTTAAACTGTGTGTTCAAATACCAAAATTCAAGCTTATCACTGTTAATTACTAACTTATATATATTCTTAATAGAACGCCATCTATCGGTTAAATTTAAAAAGCAATATGGCGTCTAGAGTATTATTTTTAAGTAATAAAAGCGAATATTTTATACATTTTACAACCTAATTAATAATATTGTTCATATTTCGCTTAACATAATGTGGGTTTTCACTGCACCTATATTTATACACATGTTTCTTACAAAGACAATAAAAGAGATGTTAATATACAGTGAAAACCCACACTTTTCCAAACACATGCCACTTTATTTTTAAAACAAAGCAATTTCGCGATCACTTTATATTTGGATTACTAATTGACCTAAGTCATATTGACTTGTCTAACATTGAGTTTTCATTGTAAAATGTACAAAAACATGTCTTTAAAATGACAGAGATTATGTTTTTATACAAGTCTTTAGTTAATGAAAACTCAGTTTTGAATACATTTTTATCATAAACACGGAAAGTTGAATACATTCCAAGCACATTTTAAAACGTCAATAAATATATTGCAAAATAAATATATATTTTATTAGGAACCCAATATATTATGCAGCTATTTGTAAGAAAAAAAAATAATTTAATTTATTCTTGATATGATGTAGAAAATAATTTTTAAATGAACCAATTCGGTGGTACTTTACAGGTCATAATGAACCATTGCACATATTTCTGAATTATTTACAGTGGGTTTCAAAGACCAAAATCAATGTTTAAAACATATCACCTCTGTTTTGTCAAATGACAGGAATGATATGTTTTATACAGAGATTTAAGCCTCAGAAACCCACGGTTCAAAATAGTAAAATATAATAGAATCTTTTCTATATTAAATAATATTGTGATGTCAATTTCTAATAAATATAATAATTTATATCAATTTAAAATTAAATGAAAGAAGTCAAGCGCATTTCTAAGCGTTTTTCTTTAAATAAGTACTTAATTAATTTTATAAAATCAAATACTTTTTAAAATGTATTTCTTTCTAATATACGTCAAAAATGTGTCAAACGGAACTGTCACTCTGACACTTGTGCAATGGTTCAGAAACAAGTCATTTTGCAACGGTATAAAAAAAAACACAAAATACAAAAGTCGTCCAGCAAATTGCATAATTTCAAAAGCAATCGAATAAATATTTCTTGATAAATTTTAGCCTCAAAAAAAATCTTAAATTATATAATGGTATTCGGCGATCGATTATTTTTATAAAATATTATAAATTGTCCCTTGTATATTATTTTAGACCATAGAGGTCACGCTCTACTGGAGATTAACACTTACAAAGATTAAAAAACAACTTTATACTCTTTGACGGTACCACAGATTATGTTATCTATAGACATGATTTTATCTACTCGCATGTATTACTCTCTTCCTCTCGCTTACGATGTTTTCAACAGAAACAAGCATAAAAACGAGACATGTCTATCCCCCAGTAGGCGTCCAACTGATTTCTGAAACAATACCATGAATTTGATGACAAATTTTATATAACTTGATAATTACAGTCGAACCTGGACAATAAGATACCTGTATAGGTGATATTTATTGCCGAGTCCCGACGGAGGACCTTCGAAAGCAAGAAACCTTCATCAAAGAGAAAAATATTGCAGCCTCATAGACTCATTAATCCAGATTCGACTGTGTTTTAGTTTTATTAGCTTGGTTAGATATCTCTATAACTTTATTCCTTTATTTATACTATAAAATTTCTACCTATTTCAATTTTGAAAGATATATAAAAATCTTACCATCAAGGGTCCATAGGATGTGGGGGCGAAGCGCCACAGCTGCTGTCTTCAGAGTGCAACCCCTCGCCCATGTCGGTGCCAACCTGTAAAGTTTGTAATGGGTAAAGCTGAGTGTAATGTGTAATATTGTACTGTGTAACGTGTAAATATATGTAATGTGTAAAACTGTGTAACTGTGTACACACCTTCAGAACATCGTGTAGCGAGCTCATGCTGCCCAGACTGAGCGGTGTGATGGACCTCTCCAACAGAGATCCACTGCCTTGCGAGCCCCCGCCAATGGACCTACGAACATACATTAGACTATATTTCTCCATCTTACTAATATTTAAAATGAGAATGGATGGATGTTTGTTAGATGGTATCTCTAGAAAAGATGCATGGATCTCGATGAAATTTGTCATACATATAGAGTAGAACACATAGGATACTAATTAAGATTTTTAATTCCGAGTGAACGTACTCACGGGCGACAGCTAATAAATACTAAAGTTGCAACTATTTTGAAATTATTCCGCAAGATAAGTTGTCTTAGTTTGACTACTTTTATTGGTAGAAAGGGGAGACTTTACATCGCCATGTTAATTTCACATACATATGAACCTATTACCTGTCCATGGCTCTCGTCATCGTATCTCCGGCACCATCAGTTGTGTCCCGACGCCGCCATGATCCTGAACATATCATTTATTACCACACACAGTCATTTAATTACCAATTAACCTAAACATAATATATTTGTAAGGCATAACCGTTATAAGATCCGGTGCCGTGCGATATTGTTAGGGGCGATGTTCGCTTGCTGCTATCCCGACTGCCGTACAACTGCACAGAATAAAATACAATTATTATGTAATTATGTCGTGTAATATTCTCCCATGTAATGTGTAATAGTTTTTTATCATAATAGTGTAGCGACCGTCGCCCTCAGACTTCCCCAATTGCAGATATATTGCCTAGCTTAACCGACAGAGGAGGGGATACACATAAAGTAAATATTTTCCCTTTCCATGCATCCTATCATTCGGAAATTCACTTCCACTACCCATCCTTTATTAATAAAAAAATTATGGGAAGGGAGGACTAGAGCGTCGGTGGCTCAGTGGTCAAGCACTTGACTTGCAATCTGCAGGTCCTGGGTTCGAATCCCGCCATGTACCAATGTGTTTTTCGATTTCTGATTTACATATGTACATTTATCCGACGTTCTTACGGTGAAGGAAAACATCGTGATGCAACCTGCACATATCTGAGATGAAATTCAAAGATATGTGTGAAGTCAACCAACCCGCACTTGGCCAGCGTGGTTGACTATGGCCTAATCACCCTTAACTTAGGGTAGGCTCCGAGCCCCTCGGTGGGGACATGCAGTGAGCTGATGATGATGATGATGAAGAGGACTATAACTAGGTCTGTTTAGTGTGACGTGTAATGTGTAATAATGATGCGTTACCTGCTGGTGGTGGTCGTCTGCGGTCTCCAGCGTGGTGGGCAGGTCGAGCAGCCGCTGCGAGCGGATGCCGTCACCGGGACCCATGTGCGACACGTGGGCAAAGTTCGTAGGCGCTGAGATGAGACGGGAGCGACGCTCTGACCTGCAAGAAGTTCTTTAGTTAAATTATTACCTTCATTTCCTGACACCATAGTGTTAAACTCATTTTAACTATGCTACTAATTTATTTAATATGTTGTGTTCTAATAAAGTAAGTTGGAATACATGAAATCTGATAATATTCTATTATTCCTTATTATTTTTTTAGATCATAGCGGTACGCAATATCATAATAAAGTCTTACAATCTGTTATGAGCCTCTATGGCCTGGTGGGACTGTTCCCGTACTGAGAATCTCCGCTTGTTGCTGCCCCACGACGTCGTCTCCAGGTTCAATGGACCCTCTGCTGGAAATAAAAAAAAAGATTAATATAATAATTTCTATATTAACACGCAGACCATAGTTGCCATGAGTTTTAACTTTCGAAATATCCATATTAAAATACATCGTCAGTTCAAATGCCTGTACAAAGAGGATGTTGTGACATTTCTTGAAGTTGAAAGGAAGGCGCTAGTAACCTGAGATAATTTAATTTGAATTAAACCCAGGTTAGATATCGTTGTAGGTTAAAGAAGCCAATATATTTTACGCTCATTTTGACATTAATTTCACGCTATGTTCAGATACCCAGCATGTTAAAATCTGCAGAGAAAATTATCATCATTATCAAAAAGCATTGGTATATGGCGGGATTCGAACCCTGGACCTATAGATTGCACGGCAAGTGCTTAACCCCTGAGCCACCGACACTCAGTGAAAATGATAAACATAACTTGCCTGTAAACAGCGGTCGTAGGTACACAATAAACGGCGCAGAGTCCGATGAGAATGGGAATCCGTTACTTCCCGCACCACCGACACACACGATGTACCCGCACTCGTCTAGCGGACGGGAATTCGCTGAAATACACATAACAAATTAATTAATTACACAAAATTACACATTACACGTTTGATATATACGTAGACATCCGAGAGATGCAACTTTATGATTAAAACTTACGTAAGTTAAGTGTTTGCACCCACTCGCCAGACTCAATCTCGTAGATGTCGATATGAGACGAGGTGAATATCATCAAATGAGTATCGTTGATTGCTGAAACAAAATAAATTACATTTAATGATAATATTATATCGATAATTAAAATACACAACACTAGAGTCAAACAATCAGGAACAAAAGTGTACAATATACAGTGGTGTTCAGTCATGTCCAACCCTCTCCGTCAAACAGTGACTGACACAGGCTAGCAGTACTGGCGTTAGAGTAGCGCGCTGCACAGTAAGGGGCGCACAAAATCTTTGAATTAGTTTCACGTAACACTGTTAATTACAACAGGTAAAAAGGAGACAGAAATATCGCTCAGGGCGCTGGTAATGCTAGAACACTCACTGCAAGATAATTCGGTCATGTTCAGTCATGTCCATCGTCACCATCAAACAGTGTTTATTACAATACAAGGTTGTTCAGTCATGTCCATCGTCACCATCAAACAGTGTTTACTACAATACAAGGTTTTCAGTGTTGTTCAGTGATGTCCAATCTCTGTTGTTCAGTGTTGTCCAGTGATGTTGAGTGGTGAGCAGCAGACAGTAGACTGACCGTGGTACAGCGGCTGCGCGGTGTACATGATCTCAGCGTCGCGCGCGCGCATGCCGGCGCGGTCGACATAGAGCGCGAGTGCGCTGAAGACGAGCAGCCAGTCCCCGCCGGCCGCCTGCACCGCGCACAGCGGCCGCGCACCAGAGTGCGACAGGAACATGTTCACCTGGTTCTCCGGGTGCACGAGAGCTGGGGGGACAATACAATCACTTTACACTCTCCTATGTCTACACAAACATATACTGTACTTGTCGCCCGCGGCTCCGTCCACACAAAATTAAAAAAAATACTAAATAGCCTATGTGTTCTTCCAGACTATGTTCTATATGTATGCCAAATTTCGTCGAGGTTCATTGAGCCGTTCTGGAGATAACTTCAAACAAACATCCATCCATTTAAGCTTTTGCATTTATAATATTATTATGATAAGATGTTTTTTTATACATTTTGCATTTAAACACACCTAACTAATATTATAAAAGCGAATATTCAGATAGATGTCTGTTAAAAGGTATCTCCAGAACGGTTACATATATCTTGCCGAAATTTAGCAGAGAATTAGAACACAGTCTGGAAGAACACATAAGCTACTTATTGAGTTTTTTTTTAAATAAATTCGGAGTAAGCGCAGATGTGAGCGTATACTGACAGACAGCGGGCTGGTCCTGTGCACGTCGCGGCTCAGGCAGCGCGTGCGCAGCGAAGCCGCCCCTGTAACCGAGCACGAGGCGGGCGCGGCTCAGCTGCACAGAGAGCACGGCGCCGGGCGCGCGCAGCTCCGCCACGCGACGTCTCCTTGCAGCTGTGCGCGTTATCTCGTACACGTACACCACCCATGAATTCTAATAAATATTATAATTCTATTGTGTTAAAAATGTTACGTAACTCACTTTATTTAAATAAAATTCTTTTTCTTTAGATTCCTTAAAATAAACAAAACTTTTTTTGAGCTAGAGTAATGTTGATGGTGTACTATCAGAGAATTTGGCGGTATTCCAGTTTAAGAAGACCAGTCGTTTGAAATTTCCTTAAGGATTGTAACAACTACGCGATAATAATAGATAATACGATGTAACTTGCAAGTGTTTATGTACGAAAAAAGTGCTTTTACATTATGCCTTTCACTTTACTATTATGCTGTAACTTGCGCAAATTACTAACTCTCGCACTTAGCGATGAAGCTCTTCTCGTTGCAACAATAAAGGCAATTTGTATAAGTGTAACACCGCGGATATCCCAGACTGTACTTATGACAGTAACAACATAATTATCTCACCTGTCGTTTACATACAACAGCAAAGCCGTATGTGGACGCACTGAGCTCGCCCACAGCGAGGTCGACCGCGCCCTTAGCCTCCGCCAACTTGACACTCTCCACCTCTGGACACTCCAGCGCACGGATCGGTACCAGACGGACGTGCCGGCCACGACCAGCTATCACAACTGGAGACAAAGCATTTTTATATTTAAATCATACCGTAGTATTTAACTTATAAGTTATGTTACTGCGCAGTGTGAAAGACGTTGATAAGAGTAGATGGAGGTAGAATGATACCTAGCAACTGTTCATGCGGGACGTATCTCATCCTGGCGACGGGCGCGTGTGCTCTGCGCGGCACGAGCTCGGCGCGCTCGAGGTCCAGCAGCGCGAGGCCGGGCTCCCCGCCCACACACACGCGCCCGCGCTCCAGCACGCACGCGCACGCCGCCCCGCGCACCAGCGCGCCGCTCGCCTCGCCCACCACGCACGCTGAGTACACCTGCATCACAGTATTCTTAACTATCTCCCTCTGCCCTCACTTCCTCCACGTGAAAGCTTTAACTTGTTATTAGTGTACCAAATTTCATTTAAATTTCAAGGTTTAGTAGTTTCCACGTTAAATCGTCACGATTACGATACAAACAGAGTTACTGTTTCATTTATAATATTAAGTAAGGATTGCGTTAATGTACAGTCAAGGAATTTCGCGGTGTTACACTTACAGCAAAGTTACATTATTTCTTACAAACTCCGCCCTACACAGTTTAAGTCATCTTTACGAAATACCACGAATTTTTATATAGACCAATAAAAAAAAACTGTGTCTTATTAGTTCCACATCAAATTTTCTATGTTAGATAAAATAGATCTGTATTAATAATATATGTCGAGATAGAATTATCTTCACAATTTTAGCTAAAAAGCGTCAATACTGACACATTTGTCAGGCAGATTGTTCCTCTTCAATATTCTATGCAGTTCACTCAACGCGACCACCCACTTGGTCTTCTCAGATTCAGACTCCGCCAGCATCAGTGTGTGGTAACGCTTGCCACCTTCCAGTTGTGATGTTGATATCTGTAATATAAATGTGGGTTTACACTGCTGACCACTTTAAAAACAATGTATTAGTTATGTAAACACAGAGCCAACCAACTCAATGGACTGTAGGCGTAGTAGGAATATTCGTGATAATCGCTATTTTGTATAATATTGTCGTCGACAAATTTACTAACAAAATCTTTGCAGTGCCCCCCATCTGGCTTAAATTACAATAAAAATAACAAATTTATCATACTTCTTACTAATATTATAAATGTGAATGTTCAGATAGATGGATGTTTGTAAGAAGGTATCTACAGAAAGGCTGCATGGATTTCGTTGAAATTTGACGTATATATAGAACATAGTCTGGAAGAACACTCTTAAACAATCGTACTACCCCCACAAATCTTTGGGTCAATGTAGGGTACAACTGAATGTTAATTTCTTAACTAGATAATTTACCCTAAATATGCAAGGTATGTCTCGTTTGCTGGCATGTATGACATCAGAGTCCTTCACAGAGGTGACACTGAACTCCGGGTCCCGCATGTCCAGCACTTGACTTACGCACACTGACGGCAACGCGTTCCTGTAAATACAAACATAAATTATTTATTTATACATATATATATTTTTAATAAATAAAAGAATTTGATCTGACGTCCATGGACATCCGCAACGCCAGAGGAACCACAGATCCGTTGCCGGCCTCTTTTCTTGAAGGCCCCGAAGTCTTAAATATGTTTTAAACGGATATTTTGGTCTCAGAAACCAACTATGATTGCACTAAGCGTAGCTAACTGATCACTTATGGTCCTTTATGTAGATTTGTTATAGTAAATCTATACTATGGGCGACCTTAAAAGACTCTGAGTGCGAAGGTAAAATCTATAACAGCCAAATAAATTGTACTTTTAACGAAATAAAACAAACAAAGTACCTGTCTTGTGAAATGTCGTAGAGGAATAGTTTGAAGTCGCAGACTACAACAAACTGTCGCATCCAACCTTTCTTCACTCCGCCCGGCTTTGGTACCTGACGACAATTGTATTCAAGTTAGTATTTTATAAAAAAATAGCTCTTACACGCGACTTTGTTCGTAGAAATAAAAAAAAAAACTAGCAATTAACATACTCTAGGTTACTTAGTGATAGTGTAATTTTCTAATGGAAAAATTATATTTGAAATAGTTTAATATTTGTAACAATATTTGTTACATACAAAAATACAAAACTTTCTTGTTTATGATACTAAAAGAACATTAATAATGTGGTCCTTCGAGCCGGTCACTAGTATAAATGTGGTCCTTCGAGCCGGTCACTAGTATAAATGTGGTC